AATAAAATAATAAATTGATAAAATAAAATAACACAATAAAATTCTCACCACGTTTCGGCTTGTGTTGTGGCCGAAACGTCGTGAGAATTTTATTGTGTTATTGTATTTTATCAATTTATTATTTTATTCTCATTCTACGTGACTTTACCGAAAGAACCAAAGAAGATTTCAAACATTGTTCAAAATGGACAGCTACCAGGAGACTTTAAATAATATAAAAAAATGGGAACATATTTATAGATGAAATTATCAAATGTTATGTTATTTAATGTCATAGCTAACAATGTTATTATCTTTTTTTTACTTCTAACAACTTACAATTGTTTAATCATTTGTTATAGCTTCTATAACATCTGTTTGCACAATAGGTCCATAATTGTGTTCGGGTTAGGCCCCGTGGTCAAACAACCCCGAATTACCAATGCACCCAATTTCAATATATCTATTGTCTAACTGCACCCTACGTGTTAGACGGCATCTCAATATGCTTTGCATTAATGTACAGTCGCATTGAGCATGAATGATCACTAAGCCACTTCGATTCGCTGCTGGATGGAGGTTAATTCCACTGCCTGTTGGTGTGAATGGCTGTATCTATCAGCATGTGCTCCTATTATTTTTGCTCCATCTCCCCTTTGATTGATTCTTTATAATTGCCACTTATCTTGGCCGCCTCTTGATCGCTAATTTGATCCATCGGTTGCCGTTCGTGCGAGCCTTGTCATAAGCACGTTCCATTGAATTTTATTGACGGGTGTGAAAGCTTACGTTGCAACAATGCATGTTTCTCCATGTAGTCGTAATATATCTCAATAGTATGAACAATCACAAAGGAGGGCAATTTATTTTGGTAATCAATTTATTTCATGCATGAAAAAAAACATACGCAATTCAGTATATTATATGTTTCTTAATCTTGTGATTTCTATTTTATTTGAAACAATCTGATCGGAAACATTTTTCATTTAGACGCACCTAGACGCGATACACATTAGACACGTAGTAGTTCATCCCATCCCCGCGATTCGATTAATTTTCATGATTTAGGGTAATTATTCGATTCTCTCATTTTTTGGTCTTCTGACAATCTCGTTTGTATTGTTTCTTGTGTTGTTGTCTTATTTGTACCATTGTGCTCGTGCCATTAGCCTAACTGTAAAATGTGCAAAGCGTTTGAATGTAATTTTTATTTACATCGTAAGATAATTATAGGTTTTTACATTGAAGTGATGCATGTGGAGCGAGCGACTTGCGAGACACGACGAGTAGAAGGCTTCTTATGTATTAAGAGCACACGGGGCGATACGCTTCGTAACGCAGCTACACATAGGCGATCCTAACACGCAGCCCATCTCCGTCATACACTACCCTAGCTGTTCGACTAGCATAGCGGCGGCGACGGAGATAGTCTTGCAGAAGAACAGCCACGTGGTCGAAGACGTAGAGATGACGACGAGCAGCGACGGAGCCAGGACCCAGGACGCCCAGAACAGCCCCAAACATCTGGTTCGGTCCCTCTTATATCTACCCGGCTTGGACAAGCTCCACCTCTGGCCACGCCCCCTTTGCAGAACCTTCGGGAAGGTTCCCGGAGCTTCTCGACTGACTCCGCCCTTTCACCTTTAGCCCAGATACGCCCCCCTTATAATAAGGCATTATGTAATGCAGCCATAACCGTAATTACCCCTACATGCCGACAGGTGTCACCCTGTCATTACACATGTATAATGAGCATAATAATCCACTTTAAACCTACGAATGAGTGCATCAGTACATGCCCAACTGATATAAAATGCAGCCCGACGCAATATTCACGACCAATTGGAGAGCCCGACAGATAGAAACAGAAATCCACAAGTTTGACCTGACCTGCAGGAATGCGACCATCTAAACGGCAAAACTTTGAACCTTCGAAATACATTGTAATATCGGGGAGGATCAGTGGTGGAGGATGGCTTTCGCGGGAACAGGGAGACCGCGGATATTTCCAGCGGCGGTGGCGTGTGTGCTGGAAACGCGGTCAAATGCTATGAAAGAGTCTTTGGCCTCTAATACCTGCCCTGATAAACACGCGTTCCCATTCTGTTCTATTATTGCGCATGATGGCAGCAGCAATATGTTTGGGGGCAAAATGCTAATGTCGAGGTCTGCGAGCTACGAGAGGGCTTCCAGAGACCATTTCGTGTAGTTTTGCTGTTCCTCCTCTGTTGAAGGAGGGGGGGCTGCAGTGGTTTACCATGTGGTCCATGATGCTGGGCAATGCTTACTCTATCACTGCGTTGTTCCTAAGATGCAGTTCTTAAAGATTGCTTGTCATTTATTACCTGCAGCTCGGTTAATTACTGCTGCAATAAAAATAGGTGGACAAGCCCAGGTTGGAGCAATGTTCCTAAAGAAACATTGTTTTTGATTGTTTAAAATCAGCGCATATTACCTGTTGGAACATAAATCAGGCATACGGACCTTGACAAAGAAAATGGGGAGGTAAAAAAGATGGACTAGTGCACAAAGAAGCATGTAGAGATGCACGTTTGTGATTACACTGAGAGATAGGAAGAGGAACACGTGGATCAGAGAGCGTGTGCGGTTTGACTGCCAAGAAAAGTACGCGGACTTGCGGGCAGGGAACGTCGCTCGAAGGGACGGCTATGGCCCGCGGTCGAGACTTAGCGGCAGAGTGGCAGCCCAATGACAGAACGCCCCCGAGGTGGTGTCCACCACGGGGGTGGAGCGATGAAATTGGCTCGCGTGCAGGTATTGGGGGCGCCGCAGTGGCGAGGTGTTTTCTCCCTTGCCTGGTCTGCAGTGGGTTCGATCCCAACCCTGACGTCTCGATATTTGGAATTTGCATGTCTCTCTCCCCATGGTCGCGTGGATTTTTCTCCTGGTCCTACGGTTTTTCCGTCCACATTTTTAAACGTGCGTTTAGATTATTTGGCTAGTAGCTCAGTGGGCTTTACCGGGTAAATACAATTGTTTATGTTCTTTGTTTGGTTTTAATGGTGCTGATAGCTGATGATGAGTTCGTACCAGTTGACTTAAGCTATAAATACTACTCGTTCAATTACCAATTCTTTATTTGTGTACGTTTTATAGCATGGTCATATTTATTTTACCAAACATACACCGAATATATTTCGTAAATCCCAGGATGTTATGAAGCTGTTTATATTCAGTTGGTGGGAAGAGCAACTCGAATAGGGGAATGCTACTCAGTATATATCCACAAGTCACTGTATCTATCCATTATAAAGGTGAACATTATTACAATCATGATTATATTTAGAAATTAGCTAAACAATCTCAGCACCATAGGTTTTAGATTGATGTAATTTGTACCCACAAGGCAATGTGGCTTAATTTCACTATATACGTTCAAACAATACAAGTATAATTTTGTCTGTATATCTTTGGCGTTTGTTGATACCTGAACGTGTGAATTCGTTCGCCTGCGATGTTATTGATAGGAAATGTGCAGCGAACACACACGAGTTGTCATGGCACCAGAGCTGCCACAAGTTCCCTGTCAAAGAGAGAAATGATGAGCACGTTAACCGATATCACCATTAGTTTTGGTTTGATGTGTTATTGTGTCTGCCCCTGCCTACCTCTCATCTCCCTCGACTCCCCTCGACGTGTTCTCCTGTCTTTTCTCTCCCTCTACACCTCTCCACGTGTTCTCCTGCCTCTCCCCTCTGATTTCACTCTACTTCTATCTGTGCACTAATTAACCTCTCCCCTCTCATCTCAATCTATACTCCTCCATGCACTCTCCTTCCTCTCCCCTCTCATTCCACCCTACGACTGTCCATACACACTCCTACCTCTCCTATCACATCTCACTCTACTCCCCTCCATGCTCTCTCATACCTCCGCCCTCCCATCTCACTCTGATTTCATCCACTCTCTCTCCTATCTCCCCCCTCCCATCTCACTCTACCCCCCACTTCACATACTCTCATACCTCTCCCCTCTCGCCTCACTCTACTCCCCTCCACGTGCTCTCTTACCTCTCCCATCACATCTCAGTCTACTCCCCTCCACACACTCTCCTACCTCTCCCCCCTCATCTCTCTTTGCTCTGCTGCACGCACTCTCTGCTCCAGCAACCGAGGCACTCTGTTCGATCCTCCAGTCACAACCTTTTTGCTCAATGGGCGGTTTCTCATTCTTCTCTGCTGTTCCTACCGTCAGGAACTCCCAGTCATCCGTGTTGTCGACTCCCTGACCCTGTTCAAGTCCTGGCTCAAGACCTTCCTTTGTGTTCCAGCACCTGTCACTGCCCGCTTCTATAAAATGAATAGCTCACGGATATTCTCTGCTGCGTCTTGAGATGGAACTAAATGTAGACACTGTTCTAATGGAAATGCTATTGTTAAGTGGCATCAGCGGTGTGCCATTTATGTGGGTTTGTGGTTGTAAGAAAGTGAATAAATAACCAGTATAATGTGCTTTCATGTAATTCCGTTATATATCAGCCGACATTATATACATGTTGTGAACGAAGAGATAATAACGAACACAAACAATATTGTTGATCTGTGCGTACATGTAGTGGTTATTTACAGCACGTTAGCGAATGTTTCATACTAGGCAGCGGAATTTAAAAAAATCTGAGTTTATTTCCTTCGCTTAGTGCAGCCTATGGCTCAGTTTTGTCGAGTGTTGTGCGTATCTTACATTTACATTGACCAGACGTCTTGAACATAGTGCAACATCGCACCAGTGCCCATTACCACCTTGCAATAGACACGTTTTTAATTATCCACCACATACATCTAGATTGAAAACTAATTTCTTTAGAACTCCTTTTTTTTTGTTTGTTGTCCTTCCCCCACACCTCCGATTAGCATGGTTGGCTGCGTATGGTGCGAAAGAAGTTCAACATACATGCACGCATCGAGGCTTCATATTGATCAATATAGTTTTGACAAAGAATTGCTCACGCTTAGCGCCAGTAGAGTCACAATTGAATACACGCATCACGATTTTTTTCGAATTCACCTTTTAAATCTGAGACGTCGCACCAGTGTCTTGACGGAGTCCCTGGTCATGGGGCTTCCGAAGAGGAAGATGAGCGGCGTGGTGAGGGTGTTCGCCATGCGTAGGATGGCGAACGGATTAGTCGCGTTGTTGGAGATGATGAGGCAGAGCTTGAAGGCGAAGCAGGTGCACACGTGCGCGATGTTGGGCAACCACAGGACGATGAACAGGGTCGACGCGACGACGATGAGCGAGGCGGAGTTGTGCCGTGTCCCTCCGTCGGCCTGCGGCTCCCTCTTCTGCTGCCGCCTGATGACGGCGTAGAGTCTCGCGTTCAGAATCACCATGATGCCGAGCATCAGGATCGTAAAGGTCATTGTGGAGTAGCCTTGGTACGTAAGGCTTCCTTTTCCAGGAAATACGCCCTGGATGATTATCGTCACGAGGGGCCAGAACCAGACGAATCCGATCAAGATCAGAACCTTGATCCGCGTTACTTTTTGTATGTAGCGGAACGGATACTGCACCGCCAGGTACCTGTCCACCATGGCAGCCAGGAGGGCGACGAGAGAGATGCCGTGGATTGTTGACAGCACCTTTTCGGGGCTGTAAAAGGATCCGAAAGTGTCGCTGGCTTCGTAGAGCGCGAGGTAGAACCAGCCGGCACCAACAACCAGGTCGCTGATCGTGATGCTCAGCGTGTAGAGGTGGTGGTTTGACTTCAACAGGGCGCTGGAGTGCAGCAGAGCCAACAGCAGCAGCAGGTTGCTGACAACACTGGCAGTCGCCAGACAAACGTGGAACGTTATCAACGCGGCGTCGCCCGGCGTTTGAACTAATTTGATGAGAGATTCAGGCATGTCTCGCTTTGAGAGAGAGAGAGAGAGAAAAAAATATATATTTATATCGCGGAAGGTCGAAGCTCCCCGTACGCTATTTATTTTGCGGTAAGGGCGACGGCACCTTCTGATTCATTTATATATGGGGTTTTGTAATTCCCTGTGGGCCGTTTCAAGGCTATGGAGGACGTACACACACACACACAAAACCTTTAAAGGGAACGAGTGTGCCGCATTTGAGCACTGGAATGAACACTGAAGTGGCGGTGTTTGATCATTATCCATCATCGCGTATACAGCCGGAGCACAAATGACCAATTCCCAGGGACCTCTTTATTTTTTGGTCTTCCTTGGGGGAGGAGCTGGCCTGTAAACAGAACTTTCCACGGCAAGCAACCGGCCGGCTTCCACAGCAAACGATCATAGTTACGATCCTCTCTCCTATCCGTGACCGCGTTCAATTTTTTGAGTGAATGTGGTTATTGATAGAAGGTGCTGAAAGAAAACATTGCTTACCACGTTTGTGAAGCGAAGCGTGATGAAAATAAGGACGATATACGTCTGGAGTTACAGGAAGAAGCCAGCCATTAAAATGTATTGATGTTTTTTTTCTTAAATCCACAGTCCTTCGTAATGTAGGGAGACAATGTTGGTCGTTGGTGCACACAGTAAGCAAAGCATCACTTTATAAATACGATAATAGATGATGACACAGAGACACCTTTGAAATCACCCCAGGAACACCTATCATCCACTCTAGGTGGATAATGTGCCTGACAATGTTTTGACCACGTGGCATGCAGACCTTTGTTTTGTTTTAAGAGCTGCTTTTGTTGAATTCAGTAACGGACCACGAACATAATAGCAGATAACTTGCAGATAACCTGTGTAGTATGCTTGTCCCGAGAACCCACTCCTATACCACTCTGTCAATTGAGCTGAATGAGAAGTCATTTGATAGCTTGTATGTATGCATATTTAAATTTTCGCACCGTACGTAGCCAACCATGCTAATCGGAGGTGCGAGAGGAGGGCAGTAAACTAAACAAACTAAACTTATGACCGGTAGTTCATGCAAACGATGTCAACATTTCAACCACAATAATTGACCTTTGATTGACCTCTGATTGACCTTTGACCTGATAATTCAGATAATTGGGATTATCCACCTGGCACTTAGTACGTGCCCCTTTGGAGAGGTGTGTGTGTGTGTGTGTACCCTGCTTGGGGAGAGCCGAGGAGGGGTGGCGCGAAGGGGTTTGGTGTGGCTGAAGTGATAATATACCCGTGAGAGCTCACACGTGCTGTCAATGATAGACTCACTCCAAGCTTCGTGTAATGTATTTGAGAAAACATGCTTGTGAAAAAGGTCCCCATTTCGTGAGGGGGATACAATTTTTTGAAGTGGGAATTTTTTGTTTGTCATTCGGGACCAGACTGGGGTCCATTAACCCACCACAATTGTGAACATCGTTTAGTCACGGTTGGCTGCGAGGATTTGAACACAGGTTTAGTGGTGCTGTTTTTAACGCTCTGGACTTTAAACCATGCCAGTCAGTGCGGGTTGATGAAGGCGGAGAGGGAGCATAGATGGATTGTGCCTTGATCTCACAAGAACAAATCTTCCCACAATGCAATGTGCCAGAAACTATTTCTAATTTATTTAGAAGGAGTTTATTTAGTAATACTTTTTTTAGGGTCTGTCGGTTACTCAATAGCGACTATTAGGTAACGACTCATTTTCTAATTTAAAAACTGGTGATCAGAAAAAAAGTATTTAAAATGTAATTATTCTCAAGCCTCATTGTGTGAAGTGCATTCTCCAGTCATTATATCTGTCCGGCCTCCATTTTCTGAACTGTCTTATTAATTGAACAACTATAATTTCAAGTTATTATTTTTTTACAATCCAGATTTTATTTTATGAGATTGAAACTATGCGGTAAGCAGAAGAGGATGCTGAAAAATGATTTTGTTGTACTGTACTTCTTTGCAACCGCATGTATGCTCCCCACCTTCATCAACCTTCACTGACCAGCATGATGACGTGTGGTCAAATAACCCTTATGACCGACACAGCCCTCATTCATCAGTTAATTAACCAAGAGATGAACATTGAAGCTAGTGATCGTCAAGTGTTCCTCCGACGGAGATTCAGGCCTAGAATCTCAGTGGGACCCGCTCCGCACTTTGACATGTGGCCTAGCCCCAAAGTCACCCGTCCACTTCCCGTGAAGATTGTTTGATTTCAAAATGGGTGAATGGAAAATGAGTATAAGAGCTATAGAATTGGTGTAATGTGATCCCTCTTGAATATTGAACTGAAGCTTGACTTTAAACATTTTAATCGTAAATCAAATCGCAATATCTGTCAGAAAAATCGCAATTAGATATATTCCCCAAATCGTTCAGTCCTACCCCGGAGTCCCTCTTGCAAATGAGATTTCCCCCGGTCTCTTAAGTGCTCGCCCGAGTTCAGCAAAATGAACGTGAATCTCATGGACAAATACCAGAAAGTACAACTTTAATTATACGCGAAAAATTACGTTACCATATGTAAGTGCCAAACAGACAACATTTGAATGTGGAAACCTTCCCATTTTTATATTTAACACAAATTTATTGGTGTTTATTCTTAATCTGTTCATTCATTTCCCTCATCAGTATATTCACATGTTTCCATACCTGATATAAATAATGAAATTACAATATTCAGTATATGGATTTATGAAGAACTGTATCACTGTAGTTATTACAATATTTATTTAATCATCATTATTATTACAGCACATTGTGTGAGTAACTTACGACGAATCACATAAACACCATCCACAAACAAGTCATCATCATCATGGTCAATCCGCTGTTAGATGAAGGCCTGTCCATTTTTTCTGACAATAAGGTATCAAAATAATGACTTACATCTTAAGACGCATCTTAAATTCTAATGATCAATCGTGACAACAACAAATCATTGTAACCATCAGAAGTTGCAACTTCACGATACCAACTGTGTCAGGTGGTGGCGGGTTTAACGACACATTTATATTTCCAATAATGCCTGTTTTTGTATTGTCAATGTGCGACTTTCATGTGGTTATGAAGTATTGATTCTTAAATATGTTTATGCTTCTAAAAAGTATTGCTTTGATAGGCTATTTAATCATCATCGTCAGTCATGGTCAATCCACTGCTGGGTGAAGGCTTCCTCAAGCTGCCACAACGTATCAGCGATTAAAACAATGCACCCACAAACTGATTTCATCACTCCCATCTCCCTGACGGCCATCCCCTCAGAAGCGTTCCATTCCTTGGCTGCTACTCCATTATTATAACTTTTTTTTACTTAAGCATTTATTTTTATTGTTTTTTCAAGACCCAAGGATGCAGTGGGAACATCAAAGGGAAGGTGCAAGAGAGCACGTGACAACCAAATGTACGATTGGCATAGTGAGTCACTCCACCATGGTGATAACACTGTGTAACAAATTATTTTTATTGTTCCTGGGTAGTAAGTGTTATTTCCTAATTGCTTATACCTCAAAAGTACAGAAAATGGCTATTATTATTCCCCACAAACTTTGCTTTTGTGACCAGGACAGTGACATTTAGGAATGTACATATTTTCAGTGAGAAAACGTGGTGTGCATTTGTGTCATTCCTTCACGTACAGTAAAGTCCTGGTCACAAAAGCAAAGTTTGTGGGGAATAATAGCGATTTTCTATACTTTTGAGGCATAAGCAATTAGAAAGTAACACTTACTACCCAGGGACAAAATTGGTGTTACAGAGTATAATGCAACAGACGAGAGCAACTGGGCCCGTTGCCCTGTCTGGGCAGGGGCATAGATCGGACAGCAGGAAATCGTGGAAAGAGCACGAGAAGTGGTGGTGGTGGGGGGGGGGATATAAGTGAATAAGACCCAAAATAAAATAATATAAACGCGTTGTCTAGGTTGGTCAGTGTTTTTTTGTTTATCTTCCAGGAGCAACGATCAAGGGTAGAGGGTGGCGTAGTGTCCAGAGTCCATACCCACTTCCCTTATCCCTTCTCCCCTGGCCCCCAATCCCACGGTTAGTCATGTTGGGTTCAGTAAAAACCGAGACCATATGGCCTCATACGTCATTGTTATTCTTCACCATCGTTGGGCTACTTAAAGCACGTTAACATCAGATTTGTCCATGGAACCATAGAAATGAACGTTGAAGGTTTACGAGGCCACTTAGGTCCCTTGAGTACGGTGTGTCCCAGGAGCCTGTGGTGTGCCCGGGCGAAATGGAGGCGACCCCTAACAAATCATCATCACCAAAGCAAAATGCACAAACCAACAGCTTGCAGGCATTGTAAGCTGGGTGGAGTGGTGGTGCGGTGGTCAGCGCACTGCACTAAGAACCCAGGAAACCCGAGAATAATTCCCAGCTATGCTCACGTAAAAGCGGTGAGTCGACATCTGAACTGCTCCTGGGATTTTTCGATTTGAAGCTTTCGTGACTGCAGGGATTCATCTTCTTGGTTCTTTCGGTAAAGTCACCACGTAGAATGGAAATAAAATAATAAAAATAAAACAATAAAATAAAATTCTCACGAAGTTTCGGCCACAACACAAGTAGCCTTCTTCAGGTGTGGCCGTCTTCACAAGTAGCCTTCTTCACCTGAAGAAGGCTACTTGTATTCTTGGTTTTTTAGGTAAAGTCACGTTGAAGAGAAACAACAAAATAATAAAATATATATAAAACAATAAAAAATTCTCACGACGTTTCGACCATAACTCAAACGGCCATCTTCAGGTGTGTTGGTTTGCATAAATTTATTTTTAAACGGCGCATTTATTTATTTATAAAAAACGTTAGCGCCACGCGCAGCGATTTGGCAGTTTACCCAGGACTAGTCCATCTATATTCTGAAAAGAGGAGGGGGGAGACGAAATTTTTTATAATGTGTGCTGTCTGAAAGCCACTGTAAGCGTGAACAATCAATTAAGAACTGTAATGGTTTATCAAATCTTTCCAATGATTGCTAA